TATAAAAAGAAATCATAATAAGGAGCCCTAAAATAGGAAGGTTCTATAGGGCCCAGGTAGGGTTTAGATTTGCACAATCCAGCATACAGGGCCCGAGCTGTATGCGTCAAGCTTGAGCAGTACGCATCTTCCAGCTGATCTCAAGCGTGCTTGCATTGTAGGCACACAAGCATCGACATCCACTTTTGCATGTGAAAATGCATCAGGAATATTAGATCTGATCTGTACTTGGTTTGCACCCGTACCATATGTTGAGACTATGATTCGTCCATGGGCGCGTTTTGCGCATACTTGTGCATTCACATCTCATGGTACACGCATGTTTAGCTTCATCTTGGGATTGCAAGGTTTGTGTGCGGCAGATGTACATCGAGCTTATTGTTCTTGCTTGTTCGGTTTCCTCGACGTCTCAGAAAGTCTGCTCTACTGTTACTTGCGCTGCTGTTCCCTAGAAATATTTTCGAGCCTTGTATTGCTGTGCTTCCAGGAGATGTGTGGAGGCCACAGGTAGCACTACAGGTCACCATTTACATTCGCACGTGGCGATGCAACAACTTGTTGTCTGAAGCCGGTAGCTACCTTGATTTCTCGCATGCATTACTGGGTCTTGCGCAGAGTGCAGGACTAGCTTTTGAGCAGGGGCGAGTGGGGGGGGGGTTGTTGTGCAGCTGTCGGCACAAAAGGGTGGACCATGGGCAGGCCCGAGCTCGCGCTGGCACTGGGCTCAAGGCCGATTTCAGCTCAACATCCCCCAGCCCTCGGAGCTCTCAAGCTGGTTCCCCGCTGCTTGGATTGGATCTAGCTGGCAGCCCATAGGCCCCTAAGTAGTTCCTGTTTATGGTTTATTTTTCGAATCCGAATCCTATAAGGTAATCCCAACAAGGAACTACCTAGAGGCCTATGAGTAGGGTCCAGGTTCTTCAGCAATGGTCTTAGGCTTGGACTGCGGGGCTCCTAGACTCCAGGCTAGAAAAATTCCGAAGTTACTACTATACCGTGGGTGAGAGTTCATCATGGCTTTTGGGATGTAGATTGATGGATGCTTTTTGCTCGACCTCGCCATGGGGTTAGCGAAAACATGTCCTGCTTTGGGCTCCCTCAACACTACTCCCAGTACCGGTCTGTTGTGCTTCGCCCCAAAAGTGCTTAGTTAGTAGACTTCGCAGAGAACCATACCCTAAACCCTAAACCATAAAAGCCGAGCCCAAGAAAGCCCCAGGATGGTTCTCCTGGCATATTGCTCGGTTTGGCTTCTGGCCATCTCTCCGACCACTGCCGCGCCCTGCCCGAATGGCGTCTGCTCCGGAGGACTCGGCCTACTCCAGAAGGCCGGCGGCTGCATCGGCCAAAAGAATGAAGCTACGAGGTAGCGACACCAGGCGATTTTGCTAAGTTGTTTCTGGCCACTGGGCTGTGAAATTTAGGTGAAGTCCACCGGGTTCTTCCTCTGTCAACTTTCGTACTTCTCACCATATCCAGAAGGTGCTAGTGTTGGTTGAGCATCGCGGATAGGTGACTAGTACCTGGAGGTCCCCGCACGACAACATGTGCTGATGACTGTGCCGAGTGACTACGACTGGTTCCCTGTGGATGGCGGAATCGCACGCGCCTGCCGCGGTGCCTCCCCGGGCGACAACTCTGCCAGCCACTACACCGTGCTCCGTGGAAGCTAGGCCCCAAGAGCCAAGGATGCTTTTCCTTCCAGTACTGAGCAGAGAGGCGGTGTTCCCATTCTTTGGGCTTTGTTGAGGGCTCCTACAATGCCCTACAAACGATCAGCCATGGAAGGCATGCTGTAGGTTTCTGTGGACCGTAGTGCCATGAGGCCTATTCTCTTTACGCGGTATAGGCTTCATGCAAGAGGAGCAGGGTTTGGGAACACCAGGACAACATGGTATATAGCACCGTATATACATGGCATGTGCACGTGCATGTATCTCATACATGTAGAAGAAGCAAACAAGATCAGCATTATACGGAAACTCCAAGCACCAGTGCGCCACTCACTCGTTGTGTGCTTTGGGACTCACCTGGGTCTCAGGACTGGCCTCACTTGAGGACTGCAAGGGAGCTTGTGCACAGAACGCAAGTTGCCGGGGCGTGGAGTACAGCCGTGGTCGATGCGAGGTGTGGACTAGGCCAGCAGGCATCCGAGGCATCGATTGGGAAGACGAGTTTCCTTTTGGGCTCTGGGGTGGGTTTGTTCAGGGCAGATGTCTAGGACTTATAAGTCTAGGATTGATGCGATGGGCCTGCTATGCAAGCTGAAGCACTCTTGTTTTTGTTGGGGGTGTTGTGGAAAGAAAGAATTTGCATCTCGTCTTTCCAAGGTATCCAAGCCAGCATCTCCTTGCAGAATTATTCTTGCTGGAGCTATGGACCGTCCCACTTCCTTGCGGTCGATGGAGGCATAAACCGAGCCTGCCGGGGCACCGGGGCAGAGGATGACTCGCCTGCCTACTTCATGCCGCAGCCAGACTGAGATTGGGAAGGGCTTCGCATTTTTACTCGAGGGGTCGGATCAGGCAACAGGAACAGGACGCGCTTCGGCGTTACGCAGGATTCCCCGGCTGCTGTTATTCTTGGGTTCTTTGGAGTGCTATTGCAGGCATTCGTATTGCCTTCAGTCCTAAATTCTGAGTTGGCCATCTCAACCATGCCTCAGGCATCAGGGCGTGCAGACTGTGGACGCCTGCAAGTACCTTTGCTATGCAGAGCCTCAGTGCCAGGGCATCCAGTACATGGACGACGGAGGCTACTGCAAGGTGTGGATTCGACCGGCTGGCATTGGGGCCACGAGCGCCTCCCCCGGCTCCCTGTGCATCTTGGATTTAACGAAGGGATGCCAACGAGAGACTTTTCAGTTCTGCTTTCATTTATGAGGTGCATGTGCTACGGATATGCACATGTACTCATGCGCTCTCAGGTATAATGCTGTCCCCCCTTCGGGGTCATGCAAAGTGTAAGTAAGAGTGTGTGTGTGTGTGTGCGCGTGCGTGCGCGTTCGTGCGTCTCTGTTTTCATGTTCAGTTTTGGTGGCTCGTGGAAACTCCAAGGTCTTCGCCTGGAATTCGTCTTGGCGGACCCTTCCGCGGGCGATGCTGCATGCCGCGGCAGTCACGCCTCGGACAATAACCCGGCCAATTACTTTTTGGCAGGCGGCACATCGATCGAAGATTGCAAACAGAGCTGTCGAGAAGAGCCGCTCTGCAAAGGCATCGAGTACAGCAGCGGACGTTGCGAAGTTTGGACGAAGCCTGAGGGAATTCAGGCAGTAAAGTCACTTGGTGGCTTCACTTGCTTGAGGTACTCTATCGCTGGCATGTCGAGCACCACAACACCTGTGATGACCACCGCCACAACCACAACCGTGACTACAACCACCACTACCACCACCACATCAACAACCACCATGGCCACGACCACAACCACGACTCAGACGACCATGGCACCGACGACCCTCGCGCCGACAACCACAACCGAGGCCAAAAACTGTCGTGGGAAGTATGCGCAGTGTGGTGGCAAGAATTACAACGGCGAGAAGTGCTGTATCTACGGTTGGGACTGCGTCTTTGTGAACGACTTCTACTCACAGTGCAAGCCGGCTCAGCTCCAGGCACGGAGCTTCGCGGTAAGTTCCAGCAGTGTGGGGGTCAGAGCTGGCAAGGATCCAGGTGCTGTGAATCTGGCCTATTCTGCAAGTTCGACAATGACTTCTACTCGGACTGCAGGCCAACCGAAGGCAGCACGGTCGCACCCAGCACCACATCTGGTCCAACCTCGGCCACCTCAAGCACTGCTGCAACCACCACTGCTGCAACCACTCCTACCGGAACCACCACCACTCTTGCAACAACTACGGCCGCGCCCCAGAGCACCACAGCTGCCTCGACCAGCAACTCGCCGTGCCAGAAGGGCTATGCTCAGTGTGGTGGAAGCAACTACCAGGGAAGCACTTGCTGCGAGGATGGTTTCGTTTGCAAGGCCTCAACTGACTCCTATTCGCAGTGCTTGCCAAACGTTACCACCACAGCCTACACGGGACCCAGCACTACCACCACACAGACGACCACCACTACACCGCCACCTACCACGACCACCACTGCCGGACCCCCCACAACCGTTTCCACCACCACGGTCCAGTGCAAAAGGCGCTATGACAAATACGGAGGTATGAACTGGAAAGGAGCGACGTGTTGCGAACCCGGGTGGTGGTGTGTCTACCAGAGCCCATGCTACTCTCAGTGCAAGACCACCACGACCACAACGCCGTATGCTCCTTCCCCAGGAGACCAGCGGGCAGATGCGCAGTTCCTGATGCAGGGCTCCTTCGGACCGACCCGTGCCAGTATGATGGAGATTGACGGCGTCGGCTACGATGAGTGGATCCACACTCAAATCGCCCTCCCTGCCAGCCTGCACCGCGCATTTTACCGAAAGCGTGCCGCACCACAGACTTCAGCCGACGGTGCACTGGAGAAGTGCTCTGTCGGGTCCAGGTGGCGCAGCACAGCCTTGTCCAAAGCAGATGTGGGCAAGAACATTTCCGTGCAGGCCGGGCAGCTGTCGGTGGCTGGGCGCTTGAGGACTGAGCTGAGCACCTCTTCGACCTGGGCCGCAATGAGCTACGAGGGTTACATTTGTGAGTTGGCCAACAACGTGATGCTGAGCCAGGACGCCGATTGCGCCAACACGCAGTCCCGGCAAATGCCCCTTCCATGGACTGCTGCCCCAACCGCTGCAGGTGCAACCTTCGAGGTCCTGAGGCCCGGCACATTGGTGTTGAAAGAGGCGCAGGCGAACTGTCAGCTGACAGATATTATCCAGTCAGATGTGGAGAACGCAGGCACCTTCTACGTGCACGAGCCGCGTTTGGTGCTCGTGGAGAACACTTTGGAAGCCCCGGCCTCCTCCGAGACATGGCTGGGTGGGCAGTGCCCCTCGGTGCCCCGAAGCTTCGTGAACGAAGCCAGCTGCAAGCTCTTGCCTGGCTGTGCACCTTTGGAGATGCGCGGTGTGCAGTTGGACCTGAATGTGAGCACTTTGGAAAAGTTCTTTCAGGTTAGCGGGCGATACGTCTACGCCGTGACGGATCTGTTGACGACAGAGCCTCCCTGTGGCGTGCAACAGTCGAGGTGGAAACGGCTGGATTGCAGCGCGGTGACTTGCACCGCCACGGCCCTGAGCAGCAGCGACGCGTCGCTCATGCACGCGGCCTTGGCCGAGGAGGAGGGCTGGCTACGGGACGTCAACGTGGACTGTGCCAGCGTGCCTGCAGACGCGATTGTCGAGGTCAACGGCGAGTTCTTCCAGCACGTGCACCCGCAGGAGTACAACGTCTACGACTTTACAAACTGGGTATCCGAGCATCCTGGCGGTCCGGACAAGATCCGCCAGTGGACTAGCAAGGGCTTCATCCTCAAGTACCCGGCTTCTCATCCCATGGGGCGATGGGCGTCGACGAAGGCTTTGACATACATCCGCCCAAACTTTGTCGGCCGCTTCGGGGACTCCATGAGCTTTCTCGGCTTGCCGCAGACTTTGCAGACCTTTCCCCTGGCCACGGCCTTCGGGGCCTTGGAGAGCTTCAACGGCTTCGCCGAAGTTTGTGGCTCTGCAGGAGAGGTAGCCAACGACTTGGATTTAGGCCACCAGTATTCTTTCCATGTACCCGACCATCCGGTGGACACAGGCTTTGACGTAGACTACGACACGCCGGCAGAGGTGCCGGATCTGGGCCGGGCCTCGACCTGGACAATGCTGGCACTCGAGGCCCCGGACCAGCTCCGCCAGCGCATGGCCTGGGCCCTCGCCCAGATTTTTGTCGTGGCACCGGACGATGCGACAGCGCGGCACACCGAGATGTTTGTGAACTACTACGACATTTTCGTCCGTCACGCCTTTGGCAACTTCGGGGACATCCTTCGTGAGGTGACCTACAGCCCCGTCATGGGCGACTACCTCACCTACAAGAGGAACAGGGCCTTCGAGGGCTTACCCGGATGAGAATTATGCCCGTGAGATCATGCAGCTTTTCACCATTGGGCTGTGGCGCCTGAATGCGGATGGTTCGCGCATGCTGGACAGCGAGGGCAAGCCTATCCCTACATACAGTAACGAAGACATCATGAACTTTGCTCGCGTCTTCACCGGGTTCGACGAGCAGGGAGCACGTGCCAACATTGAGCACGTCGAGGGCAAGGTGAATGTGATTGACCCCATGCGCCTGCGCGCCGAGTGGCGAGATGTGTACCCGAAGCCAGATCTTTTGGGGGGTTATCTTGGTGACGGGTACCCGCTTTGCAAGGATCAGCCTGCCCAGGGCTTCTTGCGCCAAGGGGCCAAGTACCGCTTCGTGGGGCATGCCCACGAGGGCGAGATCCTTGAGCTGTCCGCGGGCTCCGCACTGTACAACGCACTTTGCGGAGGCACAGATGCCTGCAGCCATCAGCTTCTCATCGAACTGACAGAGACATTGTCATGCACAGGCGCCGAATGTCAGGCCCAGACGGTCAGTATTGTCAAAGTGGGAGATGGCTACTACGAGCACCTCTACGAGGCCTGTGTGGGGCTCTTCTTTTCCGAGGGCGAGGAGGTGCTCCTTTACCCAGATGGCACCATCGCATCCAACCTGACGACCAAGTCAAGGCAGAATCGTTTCGTGGCACGCTGGATCCCCACCTTCCCAGACCTCTCTACTTGCCCTGCGGGCTGCAGGGCGGGCTATGAGGTGTGTGCTTGTGCTGGGGCCCTGTCTGTCCAAGATGGATTGCATGTGGTCTCAGCAGGCGGCTTCATGTTTCAGAACCCACCGGTCTTCATGGACCGCGAGCACCCACGGAAGCGTGACGCGGCCTTTGAGGTTGAGGCGCTTCTGGAGCACCTCGTGCACTACCCCAACACCCCGATGTTCATTGCCTACCGCATCATCCAGCGCTTCGTGACCTCAAACCCTAGCCCTGAGTATGTGCTTGTAGTCAGCCAAGCCTTCCAAACAGGGGAGTACAATGGCCACACGTACTCTGGAAAGTATGGTGACCTTGCGGCCACCATCGCCGCGGTGCTTCTCTTCAGTGAGGCGCGTTCACAAACCAGCACCAGCAATGGTGTCCTGCGAGAGCCCTACCTGAAAGTTATCCACTTCATGCGGTCCATGGAGTATCAGGATGAGAAGGCCCGGCCGATCATCCTCCGTAACCTCATTGATACCATCGGCCAGTACCCGTATGCCTCGCCAACAGTCTTCAACTTCTACATGCCCGAGTTTAGGCCCGACGGATTCCCTGATGGATTGGTGGCGCCAGAATTCCAGATCTACACGGCCCCAAACGCTCTTGCTTTTGCCAATGGTATGCACTCACTCATCAACGACGGCCTCAGCAGCTGCGACTCCGGGTTTGGGGTGGAGGTGGCCGACTGCTCCGCCGGCACAGTGAGCTTCCAGGAGAAGTCGGACATGAGCGAAGCCCTGGCAGAGCTCGACCTGTTGCTCACGGGAGGCCGCTTGGAGTTCAGGGGAGTGGTGCAGGCTGCCTACCAACGTGACGGGTGGAAGGATGCACAGAAGATGATGGTCCTCACCCCAGAGTTCAACACGCTGGGTAATCCTATGCCAGATGGCGTGCGCCCTCCCTCCCCGCCTCCAAGCACGGGCGCGGCTTCCAGCTACAAGGCTGTGATCATGTTCATGCTCAAGGGCGGCATGGACAGCTTCAATATGCTGGTGCCGCTAAACTGCCCTCTCTACGATGAGTACCACGATGTCCGCAAGAGCATCGCCTTCCTTCCGGAGGAGATGAATCAAATTAACTCCGCCACGCAGTCGTGCTCCCAGTTCGGCATCCATCCAAAGCTCCCTTTGTTCAAGGCCTGCTGCACGGGCTGGACGTGAGTGGAGTGGGTATGGCGCCTTGAGGTAGATCAGGTAGCTGGGACATGGGCGAAGCCCTTACAAAGAGTTTGGGCGGTTTCCCATCCAGAACTATCCGTGTCAGCCCCCTCTTGCGCAAGGAGCTCTACGATGAGCAAAGCCTGGCATTCATTAGTGATATTGGGGCCTTGGTGGAGCCGCTGACGCCGGTCGCTGGGCTTTGGAGTGCATACTCTCTGAATCTCTCTCAGGGTTTGTACACGTTGTTCTATCACTACAAAAGTGCCAGGGTTTGTGTTTTAGTTTGATTGCACATGGTCCTTCATGATGCAGAGCTTGCGAGCCATGCGCGACAGTATGCATTGCATTATGTTGATGTATGTTGTATGCAGCTTGCGAAGCTAGTTCGTGATGCTTGGTGGTCCTTGTCACGCAAGGGCTTGATAGCTTTGGCCCTGGAAAGGCAGTCCCATATCGCATAGCCTAGGCCACAACGCTTGAACATTCGACTCCCCTAAACCCCAAACCCTAATCCCTAAACCCTTATAATCCCTAAGCCCTAGCCAGGCGTTGAATCTTCAAACCACCTGCCCAGAGAACGCAATACCCCTGAGTTAAGGAATATACCTTAAATTATCGGGGCCTTAATATTATGAATTTAAGGTCTATTCCTTAATTAAGGGGGTCTTGGGTTCCCTGGGCCTCAAGGAGATGATCGGGAAGGGCTGGAATGCCAAGGGAGGCAGCGGAGAGACCTGCCAAGGCTCCCGGCAGCCCTAAACCTTAAACCTAAAACCCAAGGAACCTACCTTTTTAAGGACTAATATATTTTTATGAGGAACCCTAAAAAGGTAGGTTATTTGGGGTCCAGATAAACCTAAAACTCTTTACCCTAAAACCCCTAAACCTCAGGCATCGAAGGTCTTGTGTGAAGTGGCAGGTTTCGGGCTTTTGGGGTTTACCCTGTGAGTTGCGGCCTTTGGGTTTGAAGATTCGTTGGGTTCAGAGCTTAGAAATCATCAACTCGCGGGTTGATTTTGGGGGAGTGAAGCGACATGCACAAAAATCCGGAGCTGCATGAAGCTAGCCGGGGTGTTTGCTGTGTGTGGGAACCCACCTTGGACTAGCTGTTGACAATAAGTTCCCAGGTGCCTCCTTTCTTTTCAGCACGCATGTCAAACTATTCCTCGAGGATTGAAAAGCTCCACAACAGGATTCTCAAGCCTGCGAAGGTACGACACGAGCCAAAGGGTGTATGCCTAGGAATATCCGACGGCCTAAACCCTCACACCCAGACGCCGAACTTCCTGAGCACTTTTTGTGACAGGGGGAAGGACCAAATGCAACAACCCCGAATCAGAGATTGTTTGAAGGCCTCTTCAGCCACAACGACCAGCAAAGAGCTGCTGAGACGCTGACATGCCAGTGGCCTGACACGTTAGTGGCTCTCTTGGCAATCTTGGCTTGTGAGCTCGTTGCGTCGTTTCGTGCAAGGGGATCCACAAAAGGAACAGGCTGTGGATCTCCGCCAATGTGTGCTTCTATAGAAATTCAGGCTGATAGAAATCCCTGTTGTGGTCTTGCAGGGCTTGCAGGGTGTGCAAGGTGCGCGAAGATGCGCAAGGTGGCAAACACCAGTCCTAGTCCTTCTGTGTTTGGCGAGCTTATTCTTCACACGTTCTTCTGCTGCACATCTTGCAAATGGGTTCCATCAAGAGTTCCCACGCCAGGTACGGCAGTGCCGAGTTCAAGGGTGCCGGAGGGCGCATGGCGGATGCAGTTGCCGCAGGGACTCAGAAGTTTCTCGGGCTCCAAAAGAAGCAACTCCTTTTTTGTGCGTGAAGCCATGCTCAATGCGACAGTTAGGTATTGATAAGCAGCTTCAAGACCGCCAAAGGCAAAGGGGTCGTGTAAGGCTGTAAGGCACTTGATGGAGCCCAGACAGGGCTGCCATGCAGAGCGCTAGTGAAATTTTCTGGATACAAGTCCACTTCGACGAGAGAGTAGTTTTGGCATTTATGCTGCCACTAATCCAAACCGTAGAGCAGAACATCACCGGCAGCAAAAGCTTTCGCGCCCAGCAATGTGCTCGTCCAAATCCAGGCCAGTTGTGACACCTAAGCAAAGTTAGAAATTAGAAATGCAGCGGAGTGTCTGTTCCTTCTATCGGGAGCTGGGATTCAACACCCTGTATGGACGTGAGCCTTATGGCATGATTTCAAGCTTACTCCTTGCTGAAGCCGGACCGAGGTACAACACCCAGTCCTTTTCTTTGAAGGGTTCTGCGACGTGGCCTCAGGGCTTCGACATCCCAGGGGAGGTTCTGGGCTCGAACTCCGGCGGTGGCGGCTTGGACTTTGGACATGAGCTTTGCCTTTGATCGCAGGCTTTTGAGCCTGAGGCTTGGGGTTTTGAGACTTGAAGAAATTAGAATCTCTGAGGTTCTGACTCTGGCTTGTTTCACAGCCGATGCCAATCCGAGGTAGCTCCGCCTTCCCAGAGTACAACCGTTTACAGGACTCGCTTGGCCGCAGACACGTCATTTCTAGTCATAGAAACATTGTGTAGCAGCGTTTCCTCAGTCTTCCTCCTCGAAAACCTCCCAGTCAGCCTGCTGGCCGCTTGAAAGAATGAGTGCTGGCATTCCTTCCACGCTCTTTTAATAGCTTTGAGCTCAACCAAGTCCTCGGAAGCTTGCTCGAAGGACCTTGTCAACAACATGACGGGCACTCGTCACGGCAACGTCTACTGCGAGGAGTACGCACGACGTTTGGAGCAGGCCTTTCCTTCTTATAGATCTTCGGACCCCAAGTCCCAGTCTCTACAGCGCATCTCTGCGGAAGGGAGGATGGAAGGGTTTTGACGCACTTCTGCTCGGTCTTCGATCCGACTGGTTTGATGGTAATTAGAAGCATAGCCCAGTAATGGCCCGGTAGTGATTTCTGTCCCAAAGCAAGACTCGAGAACGCCCGAAGGGCTGATTGACTGAGGTTGTTTGGTTGGGTGGTTATGAAACCCCACGCCATGACTGCCAAGGCCATGACCTGCAGTGAGTCCAAGAACCCTTGCAGGCCATCAGCTTCAACCTTGGCCTGGAGAAGCAGCTGGAGAACGCGGAGCTGGCCACGGAGTACGAGGTGAGAGCCCAGTCGAGGGATCAGTGGGTTTGCAAGAACGAGGGTGTCTGCAAGCTTTCACGGATGGTTTCATCACTCCACGGTCACCAGCAGCTCTGAGAGCTTGTTGTTCCAAAGCTGAAAGTTTGAGCCCCAAGCCCAGGTGCGGGGCTGGCAGCCGCTGCGGCAGCAGTTCAAGCAGGCCAAAGTGGGGGCAGGGCCCAGTTCTTTGGTGTTTCTAGGACTTGCAACAGGTTGAGCATTGTGAGTCTTTAATTAGGCATTATATGTGCAGGCGAGCTGAAAATGAGTTTCCGGTACTCAGGAGCTCCACTACGGACTCTTCCAGAAAAGACATCTGGGTTTCCAGCTCCAGGTCCAGGCTTCCCCGGAAAACCAATGCTTCTAACCGTGCGTATGCTTTGAGACAGGGCTCCTCTTTTAACATGTTGGTTTCTTCATGCGCTGGGGATCAGATTCCGTGTGAAATTCTACCTAGAGAGTCGCAACAGTCGTAACAATTCAGGCAGAAGTCCGGAAGCTGGACCGCAGTCCTTAACATCGCGGCTGAACTCGGAGTTCGTAGTCCCGAAGCCCATGACGACCCAGGCCCTTCGAGCCAAATACCGAGTCCCCAGCTGCAGGCCGCTACGCTGATTGCCGCGCGCGTGGACCGCCAGGCCGAGCGCGACTTCTTTTTCATCGAGGACAGATGTTGGAAGGCTACTATAGGCATTCTTCTCTGGATGTACATTCCTTGGCTTAGCAAAAATCCCGCTGATCACAGGATTTCAAAGTGCCAAACCGCAGGACCTTCGGTGAATGATAGTTTAGGCCTTTAGATCAAGTCCCAAGCCGCCCGGCCGGCTTCAAACCCTCTTCCTTTCACCTATCCCTGCCTTTAAGAGCTATCTCAAACTGTTACCCTCATTCGGAAACCTTCAACCAGTCACCCTAATCCGTACATCCAGGCTATCTAGGCCCTCAGGCCCAAATCTTTGAAACCTGGCATTGTCAGAGACACCGGCTTATAAGATCCCAAACCCTCAAAAACCGACTTCAACCGGTTCACCCTAAACCCTACATAAACCATAAACCATATAGACCCTAAACCCTGAACCCTAAACCCTGAACCAGCCCAGATCTCCCAACCTGCCAGGACGGTGGCTGGGATCACCACAAGGGTGTGGAGGGTCGCCTTGCTGGGAGGTTCGAGGATGTGAACGAGGCTATGCAAACACACGCTGTTCCAGTTTAGGATGGTTTAAGGCCTTGCGCCGTAGGAGTCTATTGAGTTTGGAGTGAACGGCTGAGGTTTTAGAGCAGAGTGTTGCCTTGTGGGAGTGTTTTTTAGGGCTTCGCATCTGCATTCATGCCATTGCATTGTTCTCTCGATAGTGGAGCATTGCACTAGCGGTCAATTCAAGTTGCTAAGGCTAAGAGCTCTATACTCCTTTACTGGAAGCTTTCAATCCCACAAAATCCCACATCAACCATCATGAGGCACATTGCTGACCGTGACCCAAACTTGGGCTTCGGGGGCCGCCCAGCCAGTCAGCTTCCCGAAGCCAAAGTCTTGGTGATTTCCAGGCGCTGGCAGAGTTCGTCGCCGAGCTCAAGGGGCAGAATATCTACGACAGCGTTGTGATTGTGACACACTCTGATTTCGCGCGCACCCTCACGCCGAACAGCGGCTTGGGCATGCAGGGTGTCGGATCATGGGTTGAGGGGTTGGGTAGTCTGCCTGTAGGGTTGCTTCAATTGGCGCTATCCACGATGCACATTCCTTCTTCACATGCTTCGTTTGACTCCCTCCTCATACTCCGCCTTCGTGAAGATCAGTAGCATCGTCCGTTTGCCCTTAGCAGTCTAGCAACGTTTTTTGAACTCGTTCTACATTCCTTCAATCCGACTTGCGCAAGCTCCAAATCTAAGGCAATGCGGGCACCGACCATGGTTGGGCAGGCACCCACCTGGTGATCTCTGGTGCCATCAAGGGCGGTGAGAGCCTTTGACTTGCATAGCCCACTCAACCAACCTGTAAGAGCCTAAGAATCCTCAAAAGAAACCCGCAAATCCGGAAACCGGGAAATGTCCACCCGAATCAATCGCCTACCGCAGGTTTAGAACTCTAGACTCCGAGCCCCGCCTCCTTCGTTTTAAGTTGTTCAGCCGGAGCATGCCTGAGGATCTACAACGAGTTCCCGCATCTGGCCGAGGGCTCGCCGATGGACGCGGGCCGCGGCCGCTTGATCCCCACGTGTCTCGGAGATCCTCAGATTTTCAGTTGAGTCCAGGTTCGACACTTGTTGGGGTCCTTTGCTTTGGGCTTTTGTCTGTGAATTCTGGGGGCTAGTACGGATCCCAAGCTAAAGAACCTCAAATTGTTCCATCGAAAACCTAGTTCTCCCCGCCAGCCCCGTCGTTTGTGGAAGACGTGGAAAGTTCGAAAAGGTACCCCTTGGAGAACATGATGGTTCCGGTGGCAGAGTGGATGGGCATGGAATCAGGGCAGCGCCTGCAGGCCCTCCCCGGACTTGGCAATCTGGAGTTGTTGGTCCACTGATTTTGCTGTGTAGGAATGCCATATCAGGAACTCAGGCGCAGACAGGGTTCGGTGCCACGGTTCGCCACGACGAGAGAGTAGCACATGTGAGTGCCCGGATACGGATCAGGAGGAAACCACGAAGAAGACAATTGACGACAACGGCAAAGACTATGAATAGTACGACGACGCACATTATTCTTACTGCGATTATCATCATTATATTACTACTCCTGCTGCTACTACTACTGCTGCTGCTGCTACTATTAGTACTACTTCTACTGCTGCTACTGCTACTGCTACTGCGTCTGCTACCACTGCTACTACTAATACTACTGCTGCTGCTGCTGCTGCTGCTGCTGCTGCTCCTGCTGCTGCTGCTGCTGCTGCTACTACTACTGCTCTACTACCGCTCTAACACTGCTGCTACTACTACTGCTGCTACTCCTACAGCTACTGCTACGACTACTGCTGCTAC